TTTCGTGGGAGAAGGATATCATCCCTTAACGAAAGACTTGCCCGAAATTGCGTCTCGCTTAGAGGCTCCATGGATCCTGGTTTTTGAAATATTGAAAAGTTTGATTTCCAGGTTTGGAAAAATTCTGAAAAAATACACATATACGTATGTATGTATATTGCGAGAAAAATTTCGATCTATTCATAAGGTAGCATAAAGAACACTAGAAGTAAAATTTAAATCCAGATTCGTAGACCACCTAGCGACGACTACAAACATTGAAGCGAACCGAAGGCGCGCTGCCATCATCGCCCCTCCCTCGTCGGGTCGGACAAACACTGTTGTAGTAGACAATCGAGAAGTCGTTGTGTCAGAGCCACATAGAACCAGCGCCCCAAAACAGTAATCGCCTTTGATGAAGAGAAGCATAGACCGGAAGGATCTAACTTGCAGACACACAGACGTAGACGAACGAAGACCGGATCCAGTCGGATCCACAGAAGACGAACACCGACCGGATCCCATGAGATCCGCCGGAGACAAACCTCCACACACCTTCCAACGATACTTGAAACATCACCAGGACGGGGGCTAGGCGGGGATGACCTTATTTCATCTTCAAGAAGCCACCGCCTCCTCTTCTTCTTGAGCATGGCACAAACTCTAACAAAACTCGAAAAAACATCTAAAGACGGAGCCCTCCCGCCGGCAAGGGCCGGGATCCACCATGCCTCCATGATCCAAGGACCATAGAAGATGAGGCGGATCGGCGGCGCTGGCGAGAGACAAGGAAACCCTAGATGGCAGTCCGCATGTGGGCAGGAGCGAAGGGTTGAACGCCGCTATTTTATGCGGTCCCGTATGGATGTATACTACTCCCTCTGTAAAAAAATATAAGAGCGTTTGGATCAAGCGCTTCCATGGCAAAATTCATTTTCGTGTGAGCTACATAAATAATAGAATCATGTGTTTCTAGCACATATACTATTCACTATAAATTTTTTTTGAAGCTGTAACCACACAGCAAAACACACACACACACACACACACACAACATCTCATTTCATTTTATTCCTCCAACAAGACAAGATGAAATTACAAAGACGGAAACAACGCTGCAGGTCTTCAAATCATTCAAAAAAATACAAAGGTAAAAAA